AAGTGAACAGGAGGACTGGTGAGAACAAAGTCTCACAGGCAGGAGTTAATCAGATTCAAAAACAGGAAACCTTATTCTTTAGGTGTGCCCCCAAGGTAAAGAAACTTGTGTGCAGAGATAATGCTAGTAAGTATCGGAGCTCTGTTCCAGATGCTTAATGAAAATACAGCAGGGGAATATCGGAAAACAGAAATGTCTGTTATGTGCTTGCCTTCCAGAGATTTTCAGTAACACTTAAGATCTTAACATCTTTTATGCTTTTGAAACTATTGCTAATAAAATAACATTAGACCTTTCACAAATCTGTCACTTCCTGGGCAACCATAACCTAGATCAATACACTCCCGTTAACTGTTATTATGTGCTGTTCACAGGTCCTCCATCAGTACCTTGTTGAAATGACAGTTTTCAATGTGACAGGCCTTTCTGAATTAATTTTCAAGTATGATTTTAAGAAATAATGTGTCAAATGTATTATAAAAATCCCTGTACTATAACACTTATTTGATTTTCTTTATTCACTATTTGTTTTGTTCAGTCCAAGAATTCTAGCTTGCTTTGCATGTTTTAACAGAAATCTTTGGAGTATTATTAAAAAATAAATGTTCCAAAATGGATATACATGTTCAACAGCTTCATCTTCTAACACCTGTACCATAAACATTCTCACTGTGTGAAATGGGTGTGTAATAATTTTAGCATCATTTGAAATTCTTGATGTTGATGTGACATATCAGGCTCCAAACTTCACAGTTTTCCATTATATGCCCACAAAAAAAACATTATTTAAACTATATACTCAAGTTCTGTGTTGTATTTTCCAGATTTCTTACTCATTGGCATTATCAAATCTATTTTTCCTTCCACATGTACAACGTGTCCTGTAGACCCCTTCAGTTCAACTACATGGCATCTATTGAATTACTTCTTACAAATAGTGTATTGTGCTACTTAGAACAAGACAAGAAACTGCACAAGTAATCTTCAGGGGTGTTGCTTCAGTGTCTCTTTGCAATCATTACATGAAAGCTGATTTTCTCATACTCATGCAAGAAATCAGAACCTCCAGACATCAATCTATCATGAAGCATATACAGTAGGAGTAGGCAGCACTGTATCAACTTGTCTTGTTTAGCAGATGAGGAATAAGATTTAGTTGCTTAACACAGGCAGTTAATGAACTAGCATCTCCTGCATGGCTTCCACCTGACAACCCACAACAACACTGTTCCATAGGTTCTATGCCATTTATGCTCACCCTATGCAAGATACCTTCAATCTCCTTCAGTATCCGAATGCACTAAAATGTCAATTTGAGGAAACTAAATCCCATTTATAATGTTTATCAGTTATGCTAAGAATTGCCAAAACAAAAAGACCCAATACTGCCATTACTAATATGAACATGGTTTAACTCTTCTTCCCTTTTTGTCAATCTCAGTTTACTAATGTACCAATTCTTAACATGTTAATTTCTTAGACAAGTTACAATGTTATTTCAGTATTTGAAAAGGACTACCTAAATGTAAATGGTGACTAAGGTGCTAAACAACAGTAACAAAATATAGTATCAGCCTCTTCACAGCCATTCTGTGATAGACCTAAAATTTTCTCATGCAGTGGCCTGAATCATCCATTATAGTTCTCAATTGTCTATGTCCTGGGCCCTCCATTTTTAAAACTCATGTCTTTTTTGTTTTTGAGGAGACTGATGAGAATCTTACCCCTATATAAAATTATAATTTGTACTGATGTAGTGGAAAATTATGGAATTTGGAAAGAATTTCAAATAAAAACTGTTTTGTTTTGTTTTTAAATCAGAACCACTTAATAATTTAGGCACTCCTTAAAATGCAGCTTTTAAGGTTTTGAAACTTGAACAGTTTTAGATGTCCACATTTTTTTGGGTGGGTTCAAACTATGACATAGTAATCAATGAACTCCCCAAGTTACACATGTGGTTTTATTTACATTTCAGAGTCCTGTTCTCAAAGTATAGAAAAAATGAAGATGACCCATGCAGTTTTTTTGTTTTGGTTTGTTTTTTTTTACTGAAAACAGGATTTATACCACAAAACCATGAAATAGATGATTAGAAACTTATTATTATTGCCTCAGGTAAAATTTGATTTTGTTTACTTACTCAAAGTGACAGTTCAGACCTCAAATAGATCAGAACGTAGCTTATTTTACAGTAAACTAAGAGACTTTAAATATAGATTAACCCATATCACAAAGAAAAATTATAGTTCCTAAACATTGATCAGTAAGCCAGTTTTACCTCACTGAATCTAAATCTCTACTGTCCCTAAGTTAGCATAGTAAGGCAGGACTGAATGTTAGAGGCAACTTCCCAATATGAATATAAATTAATAAAAAGGCATCCTAAAAGAAGAGATATCTCAATAAATCCAATCTATCTGAAATTGAGTTTATTTATTTATAAAATAATTGCAATATCTTTAAAATAGACCACCCAGAAATAGGTATTCATATTTTCTGTAACTTTATAAAGCACAATGAAATGTGAGGCTATTATAATTCCCCATTAAAATCTGAAAATATATGTCCTAAAAGAGAAGAACAGAACCTAATTTTCTGTATTTGCTTCCATGGAATTACCTAAGATGTTAACAAATTATGATTTCAACTTAGACATTTCACTCCAAGTTATTATTGGAGTAAACTGTGGTGTCTTTTCAGGCAGTGTGAATCACTGAACATAAGTAGAATCAGTATTCAGCATTCAGGAAAGAGGAAGGCATCTAGTCTCTTTAAGGTAATTCTTCAAGATTCTCCCAGCTCCTTTAAATATGAAGTCTACAGAAATCACAAAACCTTTGTTAACATTTTGGATTTAGGACTTGAAGATCAGTTATTTGCCACTAAGAAGTGTTTATTGATAAGGATGATGGAGAACAGAATGGGTGAGTTTCAGTACATTTCTACAACAAAGGAGTGCACAGCTTTGAAAAGACTGTACTAGTTGAAGCAGTACTAATATGCTAGAGAACTTGCATATTCTGAAGCAATATCATGGCCTCAAATTATTTAGGTTCTTCAGCTTCATGAGGATTCTAGTTCTATTTAGCCTCCTCTGTGTGTGGAGGACTTTAGACGTGGGACCATGAAGACCACACCACCACTCTAGTTGTAAACTTGTCTTGAGCTAGTATTCTTTTCTAACACAGGAATTAGAAACATGACTTTTAACCTCTCTGAGACTTAAGACATCCAACTCACATGCTAACTTGCCTGGAAATTAAGAGAAAATAATCTAGTTCCAGTACTGCATTGATGACCATTTGTAAATTATGATACCTTTTGTAAACAACTAGAGTAATGGAAACTGCTCAGAGCATAAAAATCTCTCAAAAGCCATGGAAATAAACAACAGGTTGAGTCCAGGTTTTAGGGTAGAAATTTATAGAGTGTACACTGAAGCACATGGCTATGACATGTCAAGTATTGATATTTTCTCTCATAATTAATGCTAGTACTACTGGGAAGAATATAATGTTAATACAAAAAATACTAGAGGGCTCAGTTAAAGCACTGGACCGTAACTAGGACTGATCCTGTAGATATGCAGTTACATTAGAATGATATGTCAATTATGAATAACCTAGTTCTGGTAGTTCATATGTACAGTCACACATCCAAATATCATGATTTTTTGACCTTAACAATGTCTGCAAAAAACATTTTGAAGAAGGTGTTTATGTTCTACCCTCTCTCAACTTAGTATATAAATATAAAAGGTAGAACATAGAAATGTTTTAACATATAAAAGGTATTTCAGGCTAGCTTCCAATTATGTGGTAGTGGTCTCAGAAAACTACTCAAATAGACATTTCAGGACCATCCTACTGAGACCTGAGTTAGTTTTAGAGGACTTTGTGATACATAATGCTTGATGAAGCAATAGTGTCAGAGATCATGAAGTTCTGGCTGACAGCAAGAGTTAAGAATACAGATGGTTCTTAGTGACAATAAGGATAGTGATTTTCTTAAACAAGATTTCTAGAAATACAACAAGAAATTCAGAGTGAGAATGGCTGAGGATGTTCTGCAAGAGAATTAGGCTGAGATATTCACCACATAATTGCATTTGTGAGAGTCCTTTCTGCTGCTGCTAATATCTCTCACAAGGCAGTGGCGTGCATGATATCATGAAGAGGGCCACACAGAAAATGAGAAGACAAAGACATTGGAACTCACAACTGTGTATGTACATGGACTTTGAAGCAAGGATGTACTCCTGGTCCCATAGCTTAAATGTAGCCAAAGATTCTGATTCCACAACAGTCTTGGCTATGAATGATGAAAAATTCAGGATCACAACTTCCTGCATGTTTCTAAAAGCTGTTATTTGGATTGGGATGAGGGGTTACACCAGCCTCAAGGAAGATATCTTCTGTAACCTTGGTCTGTAGGTAGTGTTCCTGTTACAGTTAGGACAGTGACAGAACTCAGTAGATGAACTGCTGACAAGTGTATTTCATGTTTCTGTTTCATAAGTTGACCACTTCTGACAAAGGGGAAGAGGGAAACTTAATTCGGCATGGCATGCATGCCTGAATCATTCCACTACTCTAATTTGGTGCTGCCTGAAAGCTTATTTTGGTGGGTATTGCGTCCTGGATTGATACGGAACTAGAACTGGTGGGATGTCAAAAAACTTCCAAAAATGACTTAACCAAATAAAATCAGCTGACCTGTGGAGATGTGAGATGCACATTTAGAAACACTCAGAGCTGGAATGTAGGTGAGGCTAAGTACAGGAATACCAGGGCTATGTGAATATCTGACAACAACATGAATATAACCAATAATGACATATATAAATAAGAGTATTTTTATTTTTAAGTTACTCTGAACTTCTAAACCTCTTAAAATATTAACCCAGGACTCTCAAATTCACTATGGTAGGTAGCTAAGGATTGTTAATCTTATTTTTACTGCTGGGGAAACTGAGGCAGAGAGGTTCAGTGACTTACCCAAGGCCACAGAGGGAGTCACTGTCAGAGCCGGGATTAGAGCTCAGGAGTTTCTGGCTCCCAGTCCCAAGCTCAGACCACTAGACCATGGCCTCAGGACATTTCCAGCTGGTCTTCAGTCTAAAAAAAAGTAAATTCTCAAGTATGTTACAAATATGTAACATATATATATTTCTTTTTACTTTGAATGTAATGGTATGAATGAGAACACATTGCTTGTAAGTCAGTGATGAAAAGCAAACCAGTACATTTTATGTGAGTTACCTTTATCATACATATGTGTATGATAAAGTTCTACAGAAGAATCTTGATTTAAATTGCAGCCAGTATGAACAGCTATTGTATTTTTCAGGGTAAGGAACAAATTGCCTTTCCAACCCAGCCAGCATGTCATTTATATTAATGGTGAGGAATGCTAAGTTGCTCTGTCTGTAAGTAAACTCTATTAAGAAAGTCACGTCCCTTGGTGAAGCTAGATCCTTAGTAAATTTTACTAGCTAAGCACTGAGCTTCATGTCAGAGTAATTACACCTTTTATCCACTGCGAGCTCTCTTTTACCTTCTTCATACTCTGTAATTTCCCACTTCAGCTAATTTAGCAGTAAAATCACAAAGGTTTTAAAAGGTTAGCTACCAAGGGACTGGCACAAGAATGTTCTGTTAAGCTCCATGTATTGAAATCACATCATGTAGAAGAAGGAATTAATTAAGTAACAATTAGGTAGTGATGGATCATTGACAACATATATACACTTTGGTGCTAAAATTAATCTCCCCTGTAAATCTTGTGTATCTTCTAATCTATAAACTGGCAAGTTTTATACTTGAAATATAAAATGGACAGGCTCTTCAGCAATATCTTAAGAAAAAAAGGTGTATCTTCTGGCACTATGAAAACTACATACTATTTTAAAAAATCATATAGAGGTTTTTTGTTTTGTTTTGTTTTGTTTTGTTTTGTTTTTTAAGAATTGAAAGAGTAATGAGAATAGCAAAAGAAGAAGAAATTTTTAAGGCAGGTGATTTTAAAGTCACTGTAAGGACAGTAGTTATATGAAAGTACTGGGTATGTTGGAAGTGCTAACAATTGTGTAGTATTCTCTTGCTACCTTCTTTTATAAATTGCCATATTGTTTCCTTGTATTGACAGTCAGCTGCTTAATACATAGATTGGCAGTTAGCCCAGTCAATCCTCAATTCTAAAAGCCTCTTAGCAGATGAAAAATCTTTGGTTCATTCACACCTTGTAGAAAGGATGACAGGGCAGAAGTGACATCCAGATCCATTTAGAGTATATTTTGAGTCTGATTTTCCTTTGCCTTGCACCTTGTGTAGTCATTTATAGCTGTGCAAAGTGAGCACAAAATGGATATAAAACACTGCTACCTATGTGAGAAGAGGATTCTGGTTTGCTTGTATCATTTCCAGAGGTGATCACAAAAAGTGCCAGGCAGTGAAAAATCTGGCTCTGCATAGAATGTCTAAACAATTTTGACACAAAGCATTAGGTAGCAGCAGTGCTTTCAAAACAATTTACAGAAATTGCACTTTTTCTTTAGAGCAGTGGGTATTTTAATTTGCTGTTTGCTTGGTATTTTCATAGAAAAAATATTAAGTTTATCTACAGAAAATGAATCTTACTTTTTCCTCTTTTTGGTAGAAACATATTTAACTGTGAGTCCTAAACTATATTCTCACATAAAAAGAACTCATGTCCTACATAAGATATCCACTAGTTCTACCTTTCCACATGCTACTTCTAAACTCAGTACTTAAAAAGTTACACACCTACACCACCTCCTGGAATCAATGCGAAAGCTGGTACTATCACAACAGCTGGGCTCAGTCCATCAGAGTTCAATACTGTTCTGGCTTTGGTATGGGTGGCAAATTATTTCTCAGCATTTACCATACAGTGATATTTACGCTATATGATCTACCACCGCTATGATAATGCAAGACCTAGTATTTTCAAGATAGAAACTTTTAGCAGGAAAGGCCTGCAAACATTAGATTAACAAATGTGTGTTAATAAAATGAATAGTTACCAAATTAAAGACCTAATCTGGCTGCCGCTGGAGATGTGGTCAATAAGTATTTCTACTTAATAACAGACATTTAGTGTATAATAATTAATTCAATATGTTTGGACATTTATTTCCCTATATTACCTGGTGGCCACTTTTCTGGCCCTTCCCAGCCAGAATCCTTCCCATCCACTTAGGTGCCACAGTAGGCCTGCCAACTCAGATGTGTTGATTAGAAGCAGAAATATAAATTACTTGACTGCGTCAGCAGTTGTTGACCTATGAGTACTGATACAGTAAATAAAGTCTCTTGGTGTTTCTGTTAGAAACTTTATTTTCTTTTAATTACAGTCATTCACTTCATAAAGTCATCCTAAAACATAATTCCCAAACCTATTACCATGGCCCAAAGCTTACCCTTCAACCAAGTATCTAAAAAACAAATGAACATATTTTTGTTATTCTTAATATTTTAGTAATACTGTATTATAGATTAAGTTTTCTTGGGCTTTTTTTTTCTTTTTCTATTTTTTTTTTCTTTTTTTCCCCTTCCCCTTACTGATTCAGTGCTTCTTTAAGTATTCTAAGTTGCCAGTCTGGCTTGACTGAAAAGTACTGTGTGTTTGTTGTGTGTCTGCATGTACAATACCAACTGTTGAAGACTGCTTTATGTTAGATGAGGCTTATGCTCAGAGCTGTTCTACAGTTGGCTCTCTGGCAGAATCTCTCCTCACCAATGCAATGATGTCTCTGTGTGGGGGAGAGTCTGTTTTATAATACTACACTTGCCATGGCCTTAATTTTACTGATGGGGTATGATTATGATTTCATTTACAGTAATCAAAATCATGAGTCATTCCATTCATGTCAATAGCATTAAAGATCTATACAGACAAGTAAGAGTTCAGAATCAGGCTTCTGGTGTTTAATCTAAAAGGATATCTGAATCACTTCGTTAAAGATAGATATTGAAGTATAGATCCTCTGCTTACTTTGCATTACTCAGTCATGCCATTAGCATAAAACATCAAATAAAGAACTATAATGACAGCTGGCAATGTGTCACAGTACATGGGTTTTCTGTTTACCTTGGGTACAGAAAATACTCATGAATTAACGAGATTTAAGGTAATATTTCAAGTATAACAAAGTTACCATATTAAGTCTCCTTGCCCTTGGAAGTTGACATTAATGTTTCAAAAACTTATTTCCTTTTTTTTTTTTTTTTAATGTCATTTTTACATAACTTAATTGTAAAAGATCTAAAGGCAAACAAGATTTAAGTAAGACCTCAGAGACTGAATTAAGTTTTATAGCCCTGTCCATAATGAATATTATGTCTGGTAAATACAGGAACATCAAAACAGTGATCACAATTCATAAAGTTTGTTTTGTAGGTATTTCATAAAGCACTATAAAATTTTCATTCCTTTTTAAATGTGAAAAACAAATGTTAAATTTCCAAAATATAGGCATTCTAAAACAATAAAAGGTTTGTACTGGTGTCTGTCTCCTTCTCAGACAGAGAAATTGAGCAGGGGATGATGGGCCTTAATTTAGTCCTCACTGATAAGTACTTTTAAGACTAAATATTCTTGAAATTGCACTCATTTAAATTACACTCAAGCTTCATGTAAATCTAAAAAAAGATTCTAGGGGAGAAAAATAATTTCAGGAAGTCTATCAAGCTATCAGAATATTGTTCTATTATATGTCTTCAGATTTTTTCCATTTTTTAAGTCAAAGAATTATTGGCATTTGAGAACATTTTCTAGAAATCTCATTGATATATTACAGGCCCTAGAAACCATTACTGTTGTATATGCTCTCAGCTTCACTACAAGTACATGCCCCAAAACACCAAATCAAAGTTGAGGGTTTTATCAACAAACCATGATCAAAAGGAAGCCGAAAGAAGGAATCTCTTACTATGTTTTCTATAGGTCTTATTGATTGTCTTACTGAAAACTAAAGATCTGTGCATCTTGCTTTTACAGTATACTGGGAATAGCAAAAATATTTTCTCCCCTATTCCCAGTGAAAGCTTTCTTTTTGCCCTGCTAGACCATGTGTTCAGTTTTATACTCTACACTTCTTCAGCATAAGAAAATTCTTGTACAGTGAAGCAATAAGATATTGTCTTCAGGCTGAATACAAATGTTTGTTAAACCACTGGTGCCTTTTAAGAAAACCTTGATATAATTTCCACTCTTAGTAACTGTGGGAATCACACATTTTTCTTGTCTTTGTGATCATATTGCTGTGCATTTCAGTAAGCACACTTGAGCACATAGCTTAATTATAAGGAAACAGACTTTACATATCTGTGCTGAAAACCAGCTGGAAATCTCACTCTGTTTTTCAATAAACTAAAGTGAATGAGAAACTCAAGAAATATAGAACAAAGAAGTCACCTACCGTGGTTGTCTTTATCCGTCCTCCTGGTTGTGTACAGGTCCAGCCTGATTTATTGATTAGCAAATCACAGCCTTCTCCTTCTAAACATGGAAGCATTTCACACCACTGTTTTGTTTTGATAATTCGTGCTATGGAACAGAAAAGAAAAAAAAAAAAAAACAAAAACAACCAAAAACAATTGGCAGGAGAATTCACATTTCACTTATCTCTAAACACTCTCTCATTTGAGTTGTCTATTTTCATCATCTGACAATTCAGCCATAGGTTATGATGTAGATAGTCCTAGGCAATTTACAAAATTATTTACAACACCTGCTGTGTCAACAAATCTCATAATAAAAATAGAACTTAAAAACCAACAATAAAACAAAAGACAGCTCTGTTGTAAATTGAAAGAACATAGAAGTTATCTAATTTTCTAATTCCATGCTCCTTACAGCCAAGGAAATATTGTTGTGGGGGCCTATCTTAGGCTTACTATCCTAACTAATCATTGTGGTAGCCCAAACGTGACCTACAACAGGGATCCATTGGGTTAGACTCCATATAAACCTGACCAGACAATCCTTATCCTGACGTGCTTACAGTGCAAATAGACATAAGACACACAGTGGAGAGACAAAAGCTATAATAAATGGGTAGAGGGGTCAACGTAATGACAGCAATTGTGAAATTCTGTGATATTTGCAGTGATAGGGGCATAGTTAGGGGCAGGAACTAGGAACATAAGAACGACAGGTGTTGAATGCAGTAAAGGTTGGGAAATCATGGGGAAGGAGACAATAAGCAGAGGGACAAGACTGGAAGAAACACCCTATTATCCTATTACTACAAGCGAAAGGAAGTCTAGACAGGAAGGTCCCTAGCTGACTGGAAGGTGGTGTGTTGTGTGCTTTTGTGTGCTTTGTGGCTCCTCTTAATGCTTGCGTCTCTGGTAAGCTAGTTCTGCATAATTTCCTCAAGGTCACATACAACAAATAGTCTTGGAACAATAGATCTCTGAGTGCATTAAAGTAGATGCAGAGGAGTTGTAGGGAAAAATTTTTCTTCAAGGCAGGGAGAAAAGGGGCTTTAATTCCTGTAGACTTCTTTTGAGTTCATCTCTAGTATATTCGTTCCTTCTCATAGAATATTAAGCAATATGACTAATATTCAATATTTCATCATTCTTTCACTCTCCTCCTGTATGCAAAATTACAGGGTGGAATGTTAGCTCGCGATATTTTTATAAAATACATATAGAGAGATACACTCACTCGTATGGTGCCATATACTCATGCTAAACAAGAGGTAAGGTCCCCCCAAAAATCTATATTTTGCTCTGACTGTAAGTCTCACAGTCCACAGAAAATGGTCCTCAGTTCCTTCAGAGATTATCTCAACAATCCTGGACTAGACTACAAGAAAGCTTCGCCACCTCAGGTTGTACATAAGCATCCCAGGATTCAAGGGCAGAACAAGTTCCACATACAGGGACACAGATCACGTCTTCCTCTGTGTTGATGTGTGACACCAGTACACCCAATCTATCTTCAACAGTCATGAGCCCAATAAAATAGAAGTACAGGAGAAACACTTAGCAAGAGAAGCGTAGAAGAAGATTCTGATGCTCCAAATTAATTTGGGGTCCAAGGAGGGTAAATGTGGGCATGTATACTCAGTGGCAGTTGCACCTCTTTATGCTCACCTGAATGCATGATTCAGCCTCCCTACACCCTTGACTTTCTCTGTCTGGAACTACCTAAGAATACACTTCCCAATGCCACAGGTCCATGGCAAGAAATAGAAGTGTAATTTAAAGTCTTTAATAAAATCCTTTCCAATACTATGACATGAAACAACTTGTGTCCTCAGTCCCGGTACAGTTGTTGGTAAGCTCTAGCAATATAAAGACACTGATTTCTTTCAGGGGAAGCTCAATCTGAAATTCATATTAAGATTTTCATTACAAAAAACACTTTAGCTCCCAAATGTCTACATAGGAATTTGCACTGTTCATTAGGCAATATATATATATCACTGGAGGATTGATTCCCAAACAATTTTTGTAACTACAATTTTTTAAAGCAAATCCAGTGGGTTTTTACAGCACATAATATACAGAAATATGGATTGTGCTTGGAGTCCATAGGTACTGCTCTGTTGAGAACTGGATCATATCAGTTTTCAAGGCTAACATCTCCTGTGTAACAGATAATAGCCTCATCCTTTCTGAGTGAAGGCATGGCTCCAGTTGAAGGCTTTACAGAAAAAACTCAGTAAAATGTTAACACCAAATGTCGTCATCCATTTTCATGCATATATTTTGCAATTTACATATCGAAATGGCTATTTCTATCAATGCTGCAACAATATGAAGGATCACTGAAAGACTGAATAGTCAGTTAAACTCAAAAATATGTACTAGATTGCCTCTACTATCTCAGGTAGGAGGTTTTCCTGAAAACATAACTTGAACTAAATATTTCTCTCCTCTGTGAATATATGGAGACCTTGCTCCGGATATTGGCTACATCCACGCTAATTTAGAACACACCAAGAGTATTTTAAAGAACATAAAGTCTAAACTGTCTCTGTGTTAAGTGTATAGACTAACTAATGCATTTAGGCCTTGAGAATCGGAACAACCTCTTTTGCAGGGAAAAAGTAGTCAGCTCACATGGTTTAAAACAAACCAGTATCAAAACAGTTTATTAATATATTAATGACACATAGCCAGCTGCAGTGCAGGATCAGTACTAGTAATACAAAAAACTAAACCATAGTACTAGACACGAAATGTTCATAAAAGTTGGAAATTCCTAAACACCCCCTCTGAACTAACTGCGGCCCCCCTCTGCCACAGGCTGGCATTCTGCTGCCCCCCCAACTCCCCCCCCCCCCTCAGTGGCGTGGGTGCCCCCCCCCCTCCCGGGCAGCTGTGCCCAGGCACACACCGCTGCGGGGGGGGGTCTCTCCCCACGTTACAGAGCTTCGCAGTCTTTTTACCCAGCTTTCCAAGCTGACCCCTGCTTTGCTTCAAAAGCCTCACAAACAGACTGGCTCTCACATCCCCGGCTCAACAAGCCTTCTTCTCCAAGCCTCTCAACAAAAGCCGGCTGGGCGGGCACCCTCACACTTCAGTAAAAAGTAAAGTCTATACAGACACATCGTTCTGTTACACACATGTAGTCATGGTTGCAAAAGGAAAGCCATCTTCACGTCTGTGGGATTACATCTGTCATTGCATTTGCACTTTTCAGTTCGTCCACTATATCAGAGTATCACTGTGAAGTTAAATATATAGTCTAGGGAGGGAGAAAAGTATACAATGATTTTATCAGCACAATATCAAGAATTTCTATGAGCAATTGAAACAGAGTTACACTAGTCAAAGCAAAGGAACACTGTGTATTTCCTGAGGCAGTAGAGTTGCCTCTTTACTGTGTATATTCACCAGGGGTGAAATTCAGCCCCCTGCAGACAAGACAGCAAAAAGCCTATCAGATTCTTCAAATCCACTCCAAGATCCATTATAAAGAATTAAGTGGCACTTAAATGATGCATAGGCTTTGTTCAGACCTTCTTCAAAGAACTGAATTTCATCTTAAGAATCTAAGCTGACACTACTTTGCATCTCCTAGGAAGGGCTGTGCCCCTTCACTTAAACTGAAGTTAATAGGAACTGACGGCGCTCAGAACATGGTAGAATTGCTTTCCCGGGTAATATCATTTGAACTAGAGAACAAATAGACTCTACCCAAGGGGTTTTCACACAAACAGTTCTGAAGTGTTGCAAGCAGGCAGAGGTTATATCAACACGACACCAAGCTACACTCCAATGTTCTTAAATGTTTTGTTAGAGCAATTTGCAATGGATTTCCAGTTATTAGTAAAACATAAATAAATAAAAGTCTCTATTCATGATCAGTATAGTCCAATTTAAGACCGTTCGACTGAGAAGCGTTTCAGAACAACACAGCTTTTCTGCTAAATACTGCAACTGGATGCATTTGGATCCCACCTGGTTTAACATTATATACATACTTTCCTATAGAAAATCAGCTCTATTTTCTATACTTTCTTTTCACACATTCACTTTACATTCGGGCAGTTATCAATTGCTGCATCTCTAGTCAATTTCATAACTGAAAATCATGAACTATTTGTAATAGCAAAAAAAGTGAGATACAAAAACTTACAGCCATCTAAAATATGTTAGATTAAAACACTCAGATTGTTACAGTTTCTCTTTTTTTTTTTTTTTTTTTAATGTTGGAGAATGAACTTGGAAATAAAAAAGTTTTGGTCTGTTTTTTTTTTTTTTTTTTTTTTTTAATTATTATTTAATTGAATAAGAATATAGATTAAAACAGCATTTGGGTACTGAGACTTATGATTTCAGAATAGAGCATGCTCCCTATGCATAAAAGATGGTGTGTGAAATGAATATTTACAAATCCTAATGTAAAAAAAAAAAAATGATTTAGTTGATGTTTACCAGGCAATTCCAGATGCCTGGAATAGCAAATGGAAGATACTTTGCAGTGGGGAGTAGGGAAAATTTCTCCTCAGCCCAAGCAGAATACATCATTTTGAAATATAGTTCTTAAATAAGATCTTAGCTCACCTATACTTTTTGTAGAATTACCTCCTTTATATTATTTTTTTCAAGAACTTGTAGCACTTAATGCAAGATGTAAAGATTGCATTAGAGAAAATATTTCCTTTTTTATTTTCATACATTATTTCACTGTTATTTTCCTTGAACCATGAAAAAAGTTGATTAGTATAGGTGATTCCCAAAGTTCAGAAATGCCTTTGGATTCATCAGTTTAGATGTAGCTGTGATGTAGGAGTTTAGATGTGTTCATCTCTTGTCCTAATAACTCTGAACAACACCCACATATTTTATCATTAATCACCTTTCACTGATTCCAACTGGTTACAGTCATCCCACTTCTCTCCCATCTTCTCTGTTCTCCTTACCTCATATCTTCCACTTTTCCTTCTTCCATTTTTTTCAACTGTAGTCTTTTGCTCCAATCATTTCTCTTCTCTGCCTGATTGAGTACATATACAGTACCTACATATCAAAGATCCTAAAACACTTTGCAGAGCTTATTATGTTTAGATGGTTTTACCTATG